GATCAGGGGTATCAGAGAGAGGAGTCTGAACACTTTCTGGTAGCCCAATAAAATACTCAATTTGCCCTCTCTAATCAGTCATAATTTTTTTACTTCCACGTGATCAAATACTACAGAAGAGTTCAGGGTCTTAGTAAATTTTTTGGGGGGGCGGGGGGAACGTTGACATTCTGGCCATGATTCATAATTCTAGCTGTCCTCAAAACCCTGGCTATCCAACTCGTGGCCCACACACTTCATGCAGCCAGAGAGGGGTCTGAGTTGTGGCTGCCAGGCTCCTACTTGGCCACTGCTCCCCTTATCACTTTGGCTGCAACAGCAACCAGGGCCTTCCCCTTCCTCCTCCAGCTGCAGCTTCCTGCTCCAACTCCAGGGGATGGGACAGTGTGGTGTGTGGGAGGGTGCAGGGTGGGGAGGGAGGTTGAGTCCAGGGCTGTCCAGGTACAAGGTGTAGCAGTGGGTGGACGGTGTCCATGTGGTGCAGCAGTCTGGCAGGTGGTGCTCATATGGGCATGCAGTGCATCAGCAAAAGGGGTGCCTGAACGGGCACAGGACCAATATGATATGTGGCACTCACTGGGGAGTGAAGTGTGCAGTCCCCTGCAGTTTGTAATTTGGACAGACCTGTTCTAAATAAATACCTTACCAATGGAATTAATTCAAGAGGCTCTCTAAGGTTTTATCCTCTCTTTGGGCTAGAAGATAAATTATTAATCAATGGCCAGTCTCTTCGGTCTATGAATCCCAATCTAGCTGCTGCCATAAGGCTTTTTCACATGAAAAAGGGGAAATCATGATGCCTTTTTCTCCCAGGTAATCATTCCACCTATTACAGTGATACTGCAATTATCCTGTAAGAATTCCAGTTGCTTGCTGAATGGCTGATTCATAGAATTTGCTAAAACCATTGACAATCCAAGAAAGGATGGAGGTCTTGGAGTAAGGCATGAAAATAGATCCCCGGAGACGTTAGTTCAGTTTCTAGTTCAACAGATTCCCTGTGTGATTTGGACTGCTCTCTGGGCCTCAGAGCCTCAGTTATAACTTAGTTAATGATATCTCCCTTTTCCCATGCATTGCCCATTTAATTCATAAGCTCTTCTAGGGAAATGACTGACACAGTATCCACAATATGTGTGTGCACAGTATCCAGAATGGTGAAATATCAATCCCAGTTGGGCTTTCTACAAGTAGCAATAATAATCATACCTGCTTGTGGCAGCGTGTCTCCTGAATCTCCCCCTGGAACACTTCGTTTCTAAGACTGACCTTTTGCCAACAGATTCCAAATAACACAGCTCTATGACCAGTCATCCTTAAATCACCTACATGCATCTAGAAAATTCAGCACAACGTTTCATACAGTGCACTAAGAATTCATGCAAGTCTTATACATAATACAACTTATTTTGATAGGGTCTTTGTGGGCACCAAAACAATGTCTGAATGACTGGTAGGTACTGAAAAGTATTCAATAAAAATGAAAGAAAAATTAAAAACCATCACCAAAAGAGCCAGAGTATGTTTTCAGATGAGATTTGGAATTACTGGTATATAAAAAGTTACAGGAAAAGCTGTGTTATCTGGCACTTTATCAACCGGAAAGCTCCATTAACCGGCATCTGAGGGATGAAGCAAAAGCGAAACTGGAAGTCCCACTTCTAGTTTTGCTGCCACGAGCTGAGTTCTTCTCCTTCATTTCTTCGACCTGCAGCCCAGAGCAAAGTTGCCTGCACGGGGCAAAGCAGCTTGACTGGGGCACCCCTCCCTGTCCCCCAGCACACTGATGCCAGGGAGTGCACCAGACAGTGAACATTTGATTAACCAGCATATTTTGTTACCTGGCATCCCCCATTCCTGGGGTATGCCAGATAACAGAGCTTTTGCTGTAGTCAGGGCTAGGGACAGAAGTTACACATAAACTGGTTTAAGTCATCATAAACTGGTTTAAACCTGTAACAGAACAGAAATTCAGTGCACATAAACCAGTAACATAATGGGAGAAACTGGTTTAAGATGAGCTTGGTTGAATGTAGTATCAGACTTAAATGATTTGGGTCAAACCAGTTTATGCAGTGTCTATCCCAGACCCCTTGCTGGTTCAAGTTCAATCACAGCCCCCCAGGCATCCCAGCATGCTTTCCAGCCCTGGGCTGTGCTGTGCTGTCTGCTTCAGCAGTGAAAGGGTGGGGGGGAGGCAGGGACTGCCCCCTCAAGGCAAAACCTGGCTGGGGTCTGGGACGAGGGAAGGGAGTTAAACTTCCCTTCCACTGAGTACAGAGCTGCCCTGCCTTGCCCGGCTAAAAACTTACTGCTGACTCCAACTGTGGACTAGAAATCCCAGAGACAGCTGGAAGCAGGAAGAGGAGGTGATGAGCAAACCTGCAGGGTACTTCTGCTGTGATTGGACTGCAAATCCCAGAGACCTTGGTGGGGCAGCAAGAAGAGGAAGCCCATGCTGGCTGTGTGCCAGAGAGCCATGCTCTAGTGCCCCTGGCTTCTGGCTTGAGCCACTGCAGGCATGTGGCTGCACTTCCTGAATCAAAAGTGAATGTTTGTCCAGTTGTTTCTCAGTTTAATCTCTGCATTTTAGATTAACCTGCAAAGACTGAATCAATTCAGCCTTGGGCTTTTTGACTGTCTGTACTTAGCTCAAAAGTCTAGAAGCTGCAAGGAAGAAGGCTGTCATACCAAGTGATGAGACTATATGAGAAGAAAGTCTGAGCAGATGAACAGTAAATGAGTGCAGTAATGGAGGACAACAGGATCAACAGACCAAGCTTAAGTAAGAACATGTAGGGTGTATAAAAGAAAAAGGAATATATTTAACTAGAACCTGAAAGCACTAACATAGTTATTTCAAGACAGATAAAGACAGAGTTACAAGCCTGACTCAAAATTTCACTGTGTTTGTGTGTTCTTTTGACTATTGTGAAAAAATTCACTGTTGTTGTAGTTTATTTCAAAGTCATTTAAGGCATCCATAAAATCACATGCATTTGGAGGTTGTGTGTGTAACATATGCTTAAATTCATGCCTGGAATTTGGAAATATACCAGAAGGATTCAGGGATTTTTCCTACTTCATATAATAATAAATATTTGTAGTGTTGCTTTAAACAATGGGGGGAAGCGGGAGTATTCCCCAGTTCTGCCTTTCCAGTTCAAGCCCAGTATTCACTACTTCATAAAAAAAGTGCCCCAAAACTCAAACGACATGAATGATGATTTCACAAGTAAAGGGGCCCTTTAGTCAGCAGAGGAAAATCTTGATGTCTGTAAGGAAGCATGCCAATTCCTATTAGTAAGAAAGGATGCAGGAGTAAGCATGACTTTTCTCATTGGCTAACAAAAGGGGCCTCACTGAAAATAGCCTGTTCCATCACCATCTGCAGAAAGGAAGTATGCTGTCAACCACCTTCTCCCCAAAACTCTAATGACCTCTGCCTTGACCCTCAGAAATTAGATACACAGGAACAGAGCTTCTACAGGAATTGAAAGCTTTACACTAGAGACACAGCACTGAGAGGCTCCTTGCCCAAGCTATCTATTGCGAACATTTGCGCTCACATTCCAAAGATGTTTCTCCTGCATTGGAATGGCTGTACATTTATTTCCTGTAGAATTCTTTCCAAATAAACTTGGATGAACTGCACTCCGACATGCGCACTACTCTCTTCCTGACCTGGCCGTGCTTTTTCTCATCCTGACAAATCTTCAACGGCAGAACTGGATGGAAAATAATGGCATATCTGAATCAGCCGGAGAGGCAAAACTTGAAAAAGCAAACAGATGCAGGGAAAGGAACATAATACCAGCTTTCAATGATATATTATTAGTGATTGTGTGCACTTTGAAGGCAAAGTTCTGTTTAATTACTTGAACTGTTTACATTTTCCTATGCTAAATTAAAAATGTTTTTTCTTTAAATCAAAATAGATCCCCCTCCTCCCCCTGCTTATTATTAAAACATTATTAAAAAGCATGGCCATATGAAGGGGATGAAGGGAGAAAGTATTCCCCTTTCTATTAGAGAAATAATATGCATTTTTTTCTAGCAGAATTAAACAGTATAAAGCTCTGAATATTAAAAAGGTTATTAAATTCTTTCAATAGTTTTTTTCCAAAGTAAAAAAAAAAATGTAGTGCACTTAAAAAAAGGAAAGGAAGCCTAACAGTGTTCAAAAAACAAAATGAATTTAAACATATTATTAATATTGCTACTGAAATTAAAAGGAAAGCATCTTTTTTAAAAATCAATTGTCTTGAAACAAAGCTTAGACTTTTGGCTATTGATAGTATTTTTAGACTCAGACTTTCTCTGGAGAGTTAAAAGTATGCAAATGCAGAGTGCACAGAGGCACAAACACACACATGCTATACCTTTGTATTACACTGGCATTTTATTATTTAATTAAACTACTCTTATTTTTCTAGCTCACGCATGCTTCCCTTGAGACGGCTTTGCTGTTAGCCTGCTGGCCTTGACTTCCAGCCAAAAACAATTCAGAAACAAAAAGGGACAACAAATCATATTTTCACAGACATTTTTATCCCTCAATACAACCCTGTTTTCACACAACATCATACAGACTCTATGAAAACTACAAATTTATTGCAGTAGCCATCCAAAACGAGGGCTCGACACATGCTCCGTGGTGTGTTTCCACTTTTACAATTTCTTAAGTTGTGCCATTAAGTAGCAACTGTTATGTTAAAGTAGTATAGACATTGCTGCAAAGGACAGTAATGGATAGTTTACAATGGCTTCGATAACAGAACTATTAGATTGACCTAAATACTTACAGTAGACATTATCTGTATCTCAATTAGAATATCTGCATTACAAACATCCGTAGAGGAGTTTTAAAAAATGCCTATTTTCAAAAACTTCTTTGCATTATGGAAACAAGCTCCATGATGCATAATGAACTTCACAAAACAAATGTAATTTATCAGGGTATTTATCACAGTCTTTCCACTGCATAGATTTTCACTTACCTGGTGGCAACCCTGTAAATTTGAGTCTCTTCCATATGATGAATATGAACCCCTTTCTGTTTTACCTGTTAACAAAAAATAGAGGTGTAACAGTTAAAAAAGAAGTATGCAGCCTCTCCAGGCATTTCATATGACATTCATTTACATTTCCATACTGGTGTTTACATATGTAAAACAGGCACTGCTGACTGTGTCGTGTAAGTAGGCAACAGAAAAGGATTAAGATTTTTTAATTCTGGGTATGATAATGTGGAAATAAACTTCCTATTCTTAGCTATACTGCTCCACACACTTCCTAAAACTGTAATCTAAAGGGCTTTCACCATTTTTCCAAATAGGCAAGTAGGCTTCTCTTCCTCCCTATTTATTTTTTCCATCTCTCACTCTCTTAATTTTATTTTTATTTACACGGCAGGCTGACTACCTGTACTGTGACCCCAGCATAGTAATTCCCATTGATTACACTGACACTCACTGGTGAGGGCAGAGCTAATCAATCATGGGCTCTCCAGATGGTGAACTCAGTAAAGAAACTGTTCAGGACTCTGCTTTTCACTCTCCTTCCCAAGTGTAAAGTCCCTCATGATCAACATGATGATGGAATTTACACCTGGGAAAGAGAAATTTGGTTGGAAATTTGCCATTCTCAACCACAATTCCTACTGCACCAGCAGTCTGGGACTTGAACCGAGGTCCAACAACTGCCAAGACTCTATGCCAACTCGAAGTACCTAGTTTTCACCCTGTAGTTATTGAAAGACACAGATCCAAGAGCCTGATGGCTAGACTCATGATATATTTTTAGTAAAAGCAAGGTTCTTTATATATATGGAGGAGCGGTCTTGAAAAACATCAGCTGGCAAAGAGGAGGTTGTTGCAAAGCGCTAAGTCAGGGCTGGGTAGCAGTACACCAAATGCTCCTGAAACAAAGAACAATCAGGAAGGATGGTACAAAATATACTGGCATAAAGAGTGAAGGTATTCACAAGGGAATGGTAGGACAATTATCAGAAAAAAAACAACCAGGAGCATAGCAAAAAAACACTTATTATGGCTAGGAGCATATAAAATGCCACATACTCCGATTTTTAACAGGCCATATGTTATACTTGATCTATACATGAAATGCCTATCAGTGCCAATGACACCTGAGTATCCATGTCTAAGGCCCAGATCGCTTCACAGTCAAACCTATGGTATACCACCACACAGTGCAATAGTACGTTACCAACTTAAAGAGAATCATTTAACAAGTATCTCTATTTAAATCACATTTTTACAAACATTTTCTTAGATTATTTCTTAGAAAAATGTTACTTTATTTGGGGAATATCATGCCATCATAACAACATATCTAATGCGCAAACAAAACTTGTAATTTTGTTTACTCTTTTATTTCAGTCTATAAAATGTAACCGGTCTACGAAAATGAAATGTGTTTGTAAAAGACAGGGTTGACTAGCAGCCTAAAATATTACAAAATCCAATTTTCATGGGACACTATTTAACAGTTTGCCCAGCGTGGTCATATTTTTATGGAGACCTATGTTGTGACAGACTACTAAAAAAAAAAAAAAAAAAAAAGGATGATGCGGTTCATTTTAACAGTTCTTAAAATGGTTGTATACACATTTTAACTAACTTTATGAACCTGTTCTTTAATAGAAATCTACTGTATCTCTTGATCTCTATTAGAATTATAATGATGAGCTCAGGCCAATTGGACGAGTTTGATAAAGAGATTATAGCATATTCCTTTCTTAGGAACCTGGAATGAGGAGAGGGGAGGGAGAAATAAAAAGAAAACACGTGTTCTTTAAAATGATTGTAGATTGATTTAAAAACATGCAGTTTGTTTTTGAAAAAATTATTACAGAAACAAAGACATTTACAGGATATCAATAGCGTGTAGACATTTACACGTTTAGTAACTTCTGAGAGAACTTCTACATCGTAATAAAAACTGATGGACCTTCTACACTATTATCCCTTTAGACTAAGTGAACAGGAAGACTCTAGAGAAAACATTTAAAATTGAAATGACAACGCAGCTCTAATCTCGAATCTTTGGTCCAATGCCGAGATCTGAAAAACAAAACATCTTGTTGGTACGTGTCTGGAGTTATGTGTGTTATTTCACATCGCCCCAATAGGGCTAATTGTTCTAAAGCCAGAAAGTCAATGCAAACGACAAATGCTATGAACTAAAAAAAGAGGGTGAGGGGAACTGAATACAAGCAACAACACACATGGAACTCTAAAAGCAATTTTCATTGCTGCATAGATATCAGTCGTTGTCTTTACTATCATATCAGATACAGGCAGCCTCATCTTAATTTCAGTTGTTAAAAAATATTTATCCAGATACAAAAATAAACCCACTGCAAATTACAAGTTGTCAGGGTTAAAAATCTACTTCTATTTGTGTGGGGGAGGATAAGAGAACAGCATAGACATGAATCATTCTCAGTAATTTGAGTGTTTCCATGACATCAATGGGCACTCGTCCAGGACTCTGTCGAAGTCTGTGAGGTACCAAAGCGGCACAGCAGCCAGCAGGAGATTGACTTTTTTTTAGGATTATGCTCCTTGTAAAGATTTCATCTGTAGCATCCACTTTTACCACCAAACAGATAGCTTTAGAGATCATGAGCGAATATTTTTCATTCTGATAGTGTAAGTCTTTAATTTTTTTACATCTTTTCCCCCCAAAATACAGCTAGAAATTTGCCTTCTCTATTAAGAATAAATAACCACAATTCATTTTTAAAAGTCAATAAACCATTTAAAACACACACATATACACACACTTCTACTAATACATATATTTTCACTATTAATTGTAATTAGAAAATTCACATCGTTTTTGTAATGATGCTTCATTTTGTAGGAAAAACATCATTTGTATAAACTGTCCATTTAAAATTAGCTACAGTCTTGATGTTGATTTTCTGCTTAAAATTCACTGGCACATTTGTTTCAGATAATAAAATTTGCAAGAGCGCTGATAATATGCTACAGTAGGCTCTTTAAGTAACTATTTGTGCTCACAAATACAAAAGCTTCTCTTGAATTTCTGCATTTACTGTACAGTATGCATGATTTCCAGCACCTCGAATACAGCAGTCTGTAGTGTAGGCTTTCTAAGGTTTGAAAAAGCTTAAAGGTTATTTTAAAAAAATGTTTAAAAGAGATAGAGCCCAGAGTGATGTAGAAACCCGACGCATTCACTGCGGAATTTTCGAGACAACCCTCTAGTAGTAGAATGCGGCAGCCGCTGCGGATATTTTTTGGCACAAAGACAATGGTGGCAGTGCCAAGCCCCATGGCTAAAACTACTCAAAAGAGGCATAAGGGTAGCATTAATCGCTCAAGTCTTTTACTGCATGGAGTACTGTTGTCCATATTTTAAAACCTAAAAGTACCCGTTAGTAATTTTTGTTGTAAGCCAGGGAAAAGAAAAAAAAAAAAGCTTGAAATACAGACCAATAACAAATCTTGTCAGACATCTGATTAATTTTTTTACCTAGAGGACCAAATGTTAAAATGTGCCATTTATTTCTAGCACTGTGCACATGTAACAAAAGATATATCCTTATGTGGCTTTCTGCTCTGACAACTGAATCAAAGCTTCATAAAAGAAGCTGACCTACAGTAGAGAGTTAAATAACTTTTAAATATGCACTTCTCCTTAATATAGCACAGAGAATGTGCATCTCTTTTATTAACAGGCCATTATTTAAAAAAAAAAAATCAATGAATTGACACAATGTACGCCAATCAAACTATAAAACAACATGCAGCTCCTCTTTCCCGATGAACACATTGAATTTGAAGTCTTATGCTCTGTATACCCCAAGAAACAAAAATATTGCCTATCTAAACTGAACTAAAATGATTGCTTAAACTCACAGATTGATGCATTTTCATTTGACTGCAAAAAAATAAAGCAGTATAGGATTGCCAATCAATCAATAATAAAATCACTTGCCTCCTCATGGCGCACTTTGAAAAATTAATCAAATTAAGTAGAAAATCTAAGCAACTTCCAAAGCCTAAATGCAAGTCATCTAATTCTCCACTACATTTTCTCTGCCCTGAGAGATAGGGCACCTTGTCTTTACTCTGGTAGGCAGAATAAGGAGGCATGAGGCATCTCTATCCATCTGCTAAGAAGGAAGTGCAGCTACTGCTATAAATTGAGTTAAATATTTGTGTTGATTTCATGTTTGACATATTTTTTCAAGCTGTAAAATTCAAATCCAGGTTTCTGATGTCACTATATTTAAAAACCCTAAGCTGTTTTAGTTCATGACAAAGGGAAGAGGCCTATTTTACTTAAGGGATTTATCTGGTTTACTTTTGAACAGCTCAGAATTTGGGGCTGTTCAGGTTTGTTGTATTGGTTTAGGTACACTTCTTATATTACTATTACTACTACTGCTACTGCTACTGCTACTACTACTACTACTACTACTACATCAGCATGGGTTGGTCTATCCAAGAAGAATGACAAATCAAGATCCAAAACGGAGTAGAGAGGAAATTGCCTGTGACCTAAGTCTGAGCATGATAAATGCCAGGCCTAAAGGATATTTTGGAAAAAGTTATGAGCAACTCAAGAATGGATTGGAATGGAATCGCTTTTCTAATTGTAACAGTTTCATATTTGGTCATTATACAATGCACATAATGCACTTTCATAGCTCTTGACATACATAATACTAAGTTTTTATTAGCATTATGCTTTTTATCATGAGGATAAAGAATTAACTAACTGAGCTGACCCTATTTTCATTGCATTTCAGTTGGGAGTTTAGCTGCGTAAGAGACACAAGATTGGGCACTATATAGGTAAAGATGCAGGAACCACTTAACTCACCACCTGCTAGGCTACAATACAGCATGTGTTTGACAACAGAACTACCCTATACAACAGCTTCTGAGAGAAGGGCTCCATTTTCAGTAGATATTCATTTTTACTCTTTTTCTCAGATTGAAAACGTGTACAATTTAATTTATAAATCAGACAAAATACAGGAAAATAAATCTCACCCCCCCAGCA